AAGAGGATGTATATGACTGTCTCACCCTAAAGTTTTTGCTTTCAATGGACTAAAAAAGAAAAGATCCCTCTTTGGAGGTTAAGGAAAGATATGGTTTTTTATAAGTTAATCCAAATTAATATCATAGAATAGATTGACTAAGTCATTAAGATGTAGTGTATGTTTTGTTTTCTTTTGGTGCTTAGATATAGGGAATCTAAGAAGGAGACGGCTCAAGGAAGATCCTTAAATGGATACTTCCAAATATACACTGTTCCTTCAGATCAACTCGTTAACTAGTTGACGTCTTGCTCATGTCCTTTCAGGTGTATGTTGCAGCCATCCGTAACAGAAACCTTAGCCTTCCTGAGGACCCTGCAGATTTGTATGAGATTAACAAAGACAAGGAAGCTGCTCTTGAAGAAGAATTTCTACCTCACAGATCCATTTTCAGGTACCTTATCATTTTTTTACCAAAACACATGACCTTCTACATTCGAAGAGTGGCAAAATTAAGCATGTCATATTTCCGGCATGTTATGTTATCAAAATGCGAATCAAATGCGCACATTCAAATATTATCTTGATTCATAATCTCACAACATAATATATCAAATTGAATTTCTGTTCAGATTTTTGGACAAAGCAGCCATCCAACCATCAACAACAGGGCAAGTTGATGAACAGCAGCCTCCAAACCCATGGAAGCTCTGCAGAGTGACCCAAGTGGAAAATGCAAAAATCATACTAGGCATGGTCCCTATATTCGGCTGCACAATTATAATGACCCTTTGCCTGGCTCAGCTCCAAACCTTCTCAATCCAACAGGGCCTCACCATGGACACAAGCATCACCAAATCCTTCAAAATCCCACCGGCCTCACTCTCCATCATCCCAGTTCTGTTCCTGATCATAATAATCCCTGTCTACGATCGCATCTTTGTGCCGATAGCAAGCAAAATTACTGGCATACCCTCCGGCATAACCCACCTGCAGCGCGTAGGGGTAGGGCTAATCCTGTCCTGTGTCTCCATGGCTGTGGCTGGCATCATGGAAGTGAAGAGAAAAGATGTGGCAAGAGACCACAACATGCTGCTGGCAAGGCCAGTGCTTCAGCCACTGCCCATCAGCACATTCTGGCTCTCTTTCCAGTACTTCATATTTGGAATTGCAGACTTGTTCACTTATGTGGGGCTTCTTGAGTTTTTCTACTCAGAGGCGCCTATGGGCTTGAAATCTATCTCAACTTGCTTTCTGTGGAGCTCCATGGCACTTGGGTATTTTTTCAGCACCATATTGGTGAAGATTGTGAATGGTGCAACAAAGGATGTGACAAGAAGTGGAGGTTGGTTGGCTGGGAACAACATCAACTTGAACCACTTGAATCTTTTCTATTGGTTGCTTTCTTTCATGAGCTTGATCAACTTCATTGTCTATGTGTTTGTTGCTAAGAGGTACAAGTACAGGCCTGGGAGCCCCATCCTGCTCTCAAAACAGAACAAGAAAATTGAGGAATGACTTCTCATCCTCATCACCAGGATCCAAGAAGAAATACTAAATGTATGTTGTTAATTTAATGTAATAATGTCATGTGTGAAAAGTTATGATGATTTAGCCCTAGCACGTTTGCTTTCCTTTCCAGCTACTACTTGTTGTGTTCATCCTCAATGAAAATCATGATGAGTTTCCATTATTCCCACATTTTCCAACTTAATTTGATTGCCTTAATTTAATTTTCATTGTTATAAGAGGTTTCAAAATACAAAGTGAAAAACAAGAACCAAACGAACTGGACAGATGTCACTGTAGCCACTTTACAAGTTCAACTCAACCTCAAATCATCTACATTTGGCAACCTCAACTCACAACCCTCAGCCACCTCACACCTCCCCCATGCAACATGCATGTCCACGTGGAAGCCTCACAACACACCACGTATTCCCATTCCTTTATCAATTCTCTCTCCTTGGAATCCTTCTGATCACATATGTGAAAGTATTTACAACCAGAGAGTCTACACTTGCACTGATCATAGTCACAGAGAAAGAGAGATAGTACGAACGACGTCGTTTGAGATGGCTTCAAGTGACAAGACACCGACTCCGAACCCGGCCTTCCAGGGCGACCATCCGACGCCGCCGGGAAAGCCGATGACGATGGGGCAACACGTGTTGGACAAAGGAGCGGAGATGATGCAGTCCCTGAAGCCGGTGAACCAGATGAGCCAGCACGTGTGCACCTTCGCCCTCTACAGCCACGACATGACACGTCAGATCGAGACCCACCACTACGTCACCCGCCTCAACCAGGACTTCCTCCAGTGCGCCGTCTACGACTCCGACGACTCCCACGCCCGACTCATCGGTAAAGATATAAAAGCTACACTGAAACGACTTTGTTTCGGAAAGGCTTAATAAACTTCCAAGTTGTGGTATTTTTGCAGGTGTGGAGTATGTGGTGTCTGATAGGATATTTGAGACTCTGGCTCCGGATGAGCAAAAGCTGTGGCATTCCCATGCTTATGAGATCAAAGCAGGCCTCTGGGTCAACCCTCGGATCCCCGATATGATTGACCAGCCTGAGCTCAAGAATTTGACCAAAACTTATGGCAAATTCTGGTGCACATGGCAGGTTGATCGAGGTAAATAAAATAGAAACGGAAAAAAGAGCCTCTTGCACGCAGCGCTTAATTAGTAATTAATTAAACAAAATTTGGTAGATGTGTGTGTGTGTGTTTTAAACATAAATTAAATTAATTGCTTTGATTTATTATTAGGTGATCGGCTTCCACTGGGGGCGCCGGCGCTGATGATGTCGCCCCAAGCGGTGAACTTGGGGATGGTGAAGCCGGAGCTGGTGCAGAAGAGGGATGACAAGTACAACATATCAACGGATGCTTTGAGGGTGTCGAGGGTGGAGATAGCCGAGCCGGAGTGGAGTAATCCGCAGGCGGATTACTGGAAGCAGCATGGCAAGGGTTTCGTCGTTGACGTCAAGCACACTGAGATGAAGAAAATCGCACCCTTTCCTTAAATCGGCATGCATGCATCATTTAGATAGCCATAAGACCTTAAATTAAATGTACAAATTGTGCTTTGGGTTGTGTTTAATTTAGCTACCTGTAACTTTGTGTATCAATATTTATGTTAAATAGCTTGTTTATATATCTGAATTGTATAATATTCCACCTAATTAATTAGATGGAAGGTTGAAATCGTTTTGTTGTTCAAGCTGCTACACGTATGAACACCAAATATTTAGAGGACAAATTAAGTTGGATCACACTTCGCACTCTCTTCACAATTCTAGAAGGTTTATGTCATGTTCTGGAGGATGGAGAAATATAATAACTAATGTCAAATCGTGGCTAGTTAATTAACTATTTAGTAATTTCTTCATGTTGAGAGTAACTATTTAATTGCTTTCTAAAACCTCTTTGGACAGCCCTTCCCTAGATCAATCTATGCAAACTATTTAAACGCATTTGATCGATCTAAATCTAATGGATCTAATGACACGCATTTAAAAGAATACAAAATACAAACTATTAGATTGATCTAAATCTAATGGATCTAATGACTTTAATAAGTTCACGTCAGCAAACTTGTATTAAATTTAAAATTAATTAGTTACATTTTATTATTTTAAACTAATTAATTACACCTTATTATTTTCCAGCAAGCCGCAATTGCATTCGTGCGCAATTTAAAGTGTCAATTTGGTCTGGGTACGGATCAGTTCGGAACAGTAGAAGACTCTTTCGTTAATCAAACTAAAGACTTCGGTAGATCATTTTCTCTTCCGTTAATCAAATCAAAGACTTCAGCAGACTTCGGATCGGTTAACTTAATATTCAGTTCGGATTGATTTGGCACGCCAGTAGTACCATAATAAAAACATACTAATAAAAATACAATTTATAATACTTTCATATAACATAAGTTCTTGAACAAATACACCAAATTATCCTTGTAAAATATAAAAATCCAATAGTCTAATTCATCCAAGTATGAAATCAAATAACTCAGTCACTATATTATTCAATATATACTCAAGATGTACCGGGAGTCACTTGTGTTTGTTGTTTGAATATTTGAGTGTTATTTTTACTGAATTATCTACATTTATGTAAATGATTTTGACATTTGTTCCGTGCGTTGGGTTCTTTAGTTTTTCATGTTGAATCCAACCATATTAAGAACAAAAAATTTGGATCAACGGTTCGAAAGTTACAGATAAAAAACAGGACAAAGATCGAAACTGGAAAACATAGGAAATTCATAAATTCCTGTAACATCCCACATTGACCAACGGAGAGGGGGTGATGTGCCTTATATATACATGCCCACCTCCATCTAGCACGAGGCATTTTGAGAGCTCACTGGCTTTGAAGTCATGGGAAGTTAAGCAAGTTTGGGTTAGAGCAATCCCAAGATAGGTGACCCCAGAAATAAAAATGTGAGGGCAAAGAGGAGGGCCAAAGCGGATAATATTGTGCTACGGTGGAGCCGATCCTGGGATGTGACAATTCCTCTCTAACCAAAAAGTGCTACAGTACCCGGGTGATAAAGCAGTGATACAAAACCATGAGAATAGAATACGGTGCCTCCAAATCTTTATTATTTATTAGCCACTCCATTTCATTATAACGAAAGACTTTATTCTTATTCATAGGAAATGCATGATTTAGCTTGCAACATGTTGAACTTCTAGTACTGTAGAGAAAAGAGAATCGAACTTGAATACAAGATGACGGATTTTATGATCTAACTCACATACGCCACTTCAGTATATTTGATTTTTGTATTATTCCTACACAGTTGCACCGCAAACTTTTCTTTTCTTTTTATCTTTTTCTAAAAGACTTATCGTTACACCTCCTCCAATTATTTTTTTACCTTTTTTTCTAATAATATTAAATAAAAAAATTAAATAAATAAAAATTAAAACTACTGACCCCAAGAGTTTATTCGTTCTTTATATTTTTGGACCGACTCAAAAGTCTATTAATTAATGTCGAATGATACTCGAGAATATTCTATTTATTTGATAATGATATGACACCGGAAAAATATGAAATGAAAAATTACCCTTAAATTGAATCCCAAAATCCCCATAACCAGCGTTGGACTCTTGGGCTCATCTCTCCTCCTCTTCATTCAATCCTTCTCATTTCCCATGGCGAACCCAGAAGAACCAAAATCTACTTCTCCGGCGGAGAACAACATGTATTCAGTGTGGGCCCTCCCTCCGGATGACGTGGCGCCCAGGCTGAAGAGGCTGATGCAGTGCCTCCGGGACGATTTCAGTGGGCCCGAGTTCGAGCCCCACATCACCGTTGTGGGGGCCATCAGCCTGACCCCTGAGGACGCCCTCAGCAAGTTCAAATCGGCTTCTCGGGGCCTCAAAACCTACGATGCCAAAGTTGATCGTGTGGCTACCGGCGGCACTTTATTTTACCAGTGTGTTTTTCTCCTCATAAATCCAACCCCTCAGGTATTTTTGTTAATTTCTATTTTCTCTTTTACAATTTTATATGGATTTATAATTATGTTGTGATTTTATTTTTTCTCAGGTGGTGGAAACTAGTGCACACTGCTGTGGCCATTTCGGTTTCAATAGCTCCACTCGTAAGTTCTAAAACACTATAATTTCTTTTATTTTATTCGGGTTAACTTCTGCCAATTTTTCTTCTCTGTTAATTAAAATTGATCAAATATTAAGTTGTAAAAGCATATGTTATTATCGATTGAGATGAGCGATAATATACTGAACTCATTTATATAATAGACATTTTGATGGCATTTCTCAAGATTACATCTTTTTCCGATATATTAGCTTTTGTAGATTGCCCATTTGATGTTTAACAAACATATAGATCATTGCCCAGTTCATATAAGCCAATCTTGTCATGGTTCTGAAAATTTGAAGCAACATATTTTGATGGACCAACCAAAAGTATTGTTCTTGTTTTAGAATTAATGATTGTGTTGTTGCATGGGATGGGGTGTGGTTTTGTGGTGCAGCTTATTTCCCACACTTGAGCCTCCTTTACGCGGACCTGACAGAAGAAGAGAAGAAGAAAGCTCAAGAAAAAGCCAACAGTCTTGATGAGAGCATTGGCAGCCTGAGCTTCCCGGTAACTCGCCTTGCATTGTACAAAACCGACACCGGAGATAAAACTCTCAAATCATGGGAGAAGATTGCTGAGTGCACCCTTGAAGCCAACTAGTTCTCTTCTCTTAGTGCACGTTTATAGGCTTATAACTTATGGCCTTCCTGTCATATGTTTTAAATAAACGCTTGGTTTGGAACGTGTGTGTTCCTTCTTTTTTCTATGAGACTTTAAGCACGAGCCTTTTGACATGAATTTAATGGGATTTCCGGCTAAGTTTACCATTTCTCCGATCCGATCCAAATGAGATTAAACTAAATCGAGATAAGAGTGTTTGATTACCCTAATCAAACCTATCCCAATGATACAAAGGGTACTTGTTGCCTCCTTTTCTTTCTTATTTTTCGTTTTCTTTGGGCCAATGAAACCACTCGATTAATAGAACGGAAACTTACAAAACGGCCCAAGTTCCTGTTGCCCTTTTGTTATGGGCCAATGGAACTACTCTAAAGCAAAATTAAAAAAGGCCCGAGTCCTCGTTTCCTTTGATGAAAAACCCGAAAAGAAAAAAAGAGTTGCAGTGAAGAGAAGAAATGGTGATGGGAGGTCTGGTTTGAGAAAGTCAACGAGATGACAAATGGCAGAGAAAGAAATGCAGTGAGAATGTAGCTTATAGATGATAAGCGACAGCCTCCATGTGATCTTATCCATAATCACAGGAGTCAAATGAAAAAATTAACCCAAACCCATTACTTTTGTCACTTTGTCAACGGCAGCCAACCCCATTTCTGTGGATAATCATGACTTGCAAAACTCACCGGAGGGAGGACTCTCTCTCTCTCTCAAAATTCCCATCCCAAAGCTTGCCTTTTTATTATTATAATAATTAATTATTCTTAATTTTAATTTACTCATTAATGGTTCGTTGAACAAAGCCAACAAGAAGAAAGTTTTAATTTTAGTTTGTGAACCCACTTGCCATTAATTGGGTGGGGCTTGTGCTAAGCACAATGAACTCACCATCACAAGTGGCAGCCGTCGGCCTAGCCAATGCCAACATCATCTCATCTTCTCTCTTTCTTTCCTTTTTTGTTTCTTCTTCCTGCAACAAAACAGTTCACCATTTGGACACCGACGCAAATTGATGACCAAAACAGGATTTTTTGGAAATTGGGACCAGACTAGACTTGGTTCTTAATTTGAATTTGACCATGCAAAATCTCTCAAAACTATTCTCAAACTACATTCAAATATGTACAACATACTATTCAGAAAACTAGCATTTATAATTCATCGATTTCAAGCCACTGAGAATATATTTAAATATAGACATATAATCAGGCATTTAATTAATTTCTTATTCATGCCAAAACCCAGTTATCCAAGCCATTCCCAACTCCACACAATTAAACATAATATAACATGCTTGGAAGGTAAAAGCGATTGTATAATAATTCATAAGCATTCAATGAAACTCTCATAACATAATACCATTTTAAAAAAACAAAGGTTTTTTAGGTTTTAGACATAAAAAAATTTTCACTTTTGGAAAAAGCCAAAGCTTTTTCAAAAAAGACAAAAAAACCACTCAACTTTCAAATCAAAGACATGCAAATGTATTGGATTCCTTAGGAAATCTAAAAATAAATAAGGGCATTTTTGTCCATTTTTGCTTCTTTTAAAATTTTTCTCTCTCCTTTTGCTTTTTCCAAAATGTCCCGTTTTTCTTCATCTTCCGAACAAAGCTTGAAACCGATGCGTGGTACAATGTTATGCTAATCCTATGCCTAGATAAACACGTGCGGGAATAATGCAAATACGACGTCGTTGTCAGCATGTTCATTTGGTCTCCAAGATAATTCTCCCTCCTTGTTAATCGATAAGAGAAAAATCGTTGGGCCAAAAAAAGGGGAAAATGTTGTTTTGGGGGAAAAAAAAAGAAATTGAATATTTAGCTTGACTCCTTATAAGCCATAGTAAGATTTTTCAACTTTCAAATGCGTGATACTTCTTTATTTCATCAGCCATTCTGCATGTGTGACGATTTTTCAATTTGAGACATTTTTTCACATTTTCACGCTATTTGTCTGTGTATCAATGGTGTCATGACTGTCGCTTTGTATGAAAAAAAACAAAAAAATCTTCGCAAAAGTAATCCTTTTTATTTGGAGGCCAAATAGAAAAATAATTCCCTTCAGTGTCGGACCATGACATTGACAGTTCACACACTTCACGCGCCAACGATCCCAAGGGGGTGGCTGACATCCACATATCGACCAGTTCGTTGGTGGCGCAGTGACCGCACCCGCTCACGTTAGCTGAATCCTTCTTAACATGCACCCCCTTGGCGTTCCGTCGACGTTTCCCTCCACGCGCTTCCAACAAGTGAAACAAACCTAAGGATACAAATATAAAACGGAAATTGTGAACGTTACTACCAAAAACACTTTCCCAACGAAACCGTCGCGTATATAGCAAAAAATTTGCAAATAGAGAAAGCACTTCAGCTGCTACTGTCTACAGCTCAGCGAAGGAAATTTGTGCTTGTCTGAGAAGCTAACAATGGATGTGAAAACGACGCCGCTGAGGTTCACTTTGGGGAAGCAGTCGTCGTTGGCGCCGGAGTGTGAATGGGAGGAGCTCGTGGGCGAGGGGGAGGATGATCCGGAGGGGATCGATCCCCGAGTGAAGCTCATGTATTTGGCCAATGAAGCCGATTTGGATGGGGTCAAGGAGCTGTTGGACTCCGGGATCGATGTGAATTTCAAGGACATCGATGATCGGACGGCTCTCCATGTCGCCGCGTGTCAGGGCCTCACCGACGTCGTTTCGCTACTGCTCGAGCGCGGTGCTGACGTTGACCCCAAAGACCGATGGGGAAGCACCGTAAGTAAAAACTCAATTTCCAATGTGAAGAACTGTAAATTTGGGGGAAATAAATGTGCTAATTGGTGATAATGTTGCTTGAACAGCCTCTTGCAGATGCTATATACTATAAGCATAACGATGTGATCAAGCTTTTGGAGAAGCGTGGGGCAAAGCCTCTGGTACTTTCTGAATTTGTGGATGCGTACTTGGTTGATTTGAAACTTTCATTGCTTATTATATGAGTGTTCTTGCTTAGCTGATCTGGGTTTGTTTGGTTTGTTGATAATGTGCTTGTTATATATCTGAAGTTTATGGCTTTCATTTTCAGATGGCTCCCATGCACGTTAGGTATGCCAGAGAAGTCCCAGAATATGAAATTGATCCCAAAGAACTTGACTTTACCGACAGTGTTGAAATAACCAAGGTAAGTTTTTTTTTTCCTTTCCCATGACATTGATTATGGTATTGTCATTTCTTGTTTCCTCTGTTATCTTGGAACTGTCCTTGCATTTTGTAATGAATGTTTAAAGCCAATTTTTTATGTTATCATCTTGTCTCGTTTTTTTTTCTTTTTCTTTTTATTGATTTCTGTTTCAAGTCCCGAAGAAAACTACAGGTTCCCACCTCCCTGCTATTTTAACTAGAACCTTTTTTTTTTTTTTTGTTGGACTGTATAAGAAACTTTCGATTAGTTGTTTAATTGGTGTTGTGCCTCTTTTAATATTTTGAAACCATTATCCTCTTCATCTTGCATCAGTAACTGCCTATTGTCTTGTCACTCGCCTTCATTTGTATATGTTAAAATGTTGTGGCCCAGGGAACATACCGTATAGCATCCTGGCGAGGAATACAGGTTGCTGTGAAAAGGCTGGGGGAGGAAGTGCTTGTTGATGAGGATAAAGTGTGGGTTGTTCATAAACTACTGATGGTTTTTCCAATTCACTATTTCCTTGCTTTACGCTCTTTGAATTTATAGGTCAATTTGGTGTTTCTTCAGGAAGGCATTCAGGGATGAGCTTGAATTTCTTCAAAAGATAAGACATCCGAACGTAGTCCAATTTTTGGGTGCAGTGACTCAAAGCAGTCCAATGATGATTGTCACAGAATATTTGCCTAAGGTTTTTCCCATTCCTTTGATTTTTTAATATGGGATATTGTTACATGATTAAATCTCTCATGGCTGTTTCCTGAATTATCATTCCCTTTCTTTTTTTTTCTCTATTCTGTGCTTATATTTGGCCCTCTTACTCTTTGCCTTGTATTTGTTGTCATTGTATCTCTCTGTATTGTGAAATAGTAGGCAGGATGAGCATATTTCATAATGTTTACTTGTAAAAGTTGAAGTTCTAATTTTATAGTGTGAAGTGCAATGTTTGAGGTGCTTATTTACTCTTCCATTACCATCCTCTTTGGTCTATGTCAGTGTCCAAATTTGGTTTTAGGATTCCGTTGACTATTGGAGAATCAAATAGGCATGATGTCATTGTTGACATGGTTGTGTGAAACAATAATACTCGTAAAGCTTTTTACTTTGTTCAGTTGGCATTCCTCCTCCAAGGTGCATGGAGAGAAAAATTGGAGAGGATAATATTCAGTTTAAAAACAAGCACATATAAAGATTTTTATTGTGATCCATAATTCTGTATTTTAATTGCAGGGAGACCTTTGTGCATTTTTGAAAAGAAAAGGAGCATTAAGGCCAACTACCGCTGTAAGATTTGCACTTGATATTGCAAGGTCTGGTACTGCTTTGAATTGGTCTTGATAATCAGATTCCAAATATCTTTGGCTAACAAATTATCTATTTTATTTATTTATAAATTAACAATTTGGGTATGGGACAGATGACATTTATAATTGAAATTATTTGTTAATCATTTTCCTGTGAATGTCGGAATAGATTACTCAAAGTGGGAAAGAAATTTAATTTAATTTTCCCACTCAAGGTCTAAATTTTGATTTCATTGGCAAATATCACTGAAAATTTTGTTTTACTATGAACTACCTATCAAGAATACTCATCCCTGAGGTCAATAACTAACATGATATTTTGGAGTGCCAAAAGGGACGTATAGCCTAAATCATTCCAACTCCTGAAATTATCCTTTGCTGCAACCTTTAAAAGCTGGTACAACTATTTAGTTTTCCAGAATTTTTCTTTTTAGAAGTTGTGATGCTTGGATGCTCTGCATACAAGATTCATCAGATTTGTAGGCGCAAGATCTTATCTTCATTTTTATGATTTATAAGTAAGAAATTATATACTAATTTGATTATTCTATAATACATACTTCAAAAGAAGAGAGAAAGATCATGTATTGTTGCTTGGATACTTTTCCTCACTACATTATCTTTGGATATCTTGCAGGGGAATGAGTTATTTGCATGAGAATAAGCCAGAAGCAATA